TCTCCAGCGCAGGCCTTACTCTCACATCTGATATCCCTTATCTCCTTTTGACACGACTTTCCCGATTCTAGCACGTACACTTTTCCCTCTTTTCCTCACAGCCCCCCCATATCTTGGTTCATCCCAGCTTTCCACTCAACTCTCCAGCTTGCCCACTCCGAAGAACTTGGAATCACGATTCATGGCTGACAAAGAGGGACGTGGTTCCGTCGACAACAGTTACAACCGCTACTCGATGCCCGTCACTCGTTCTCGTACGGGTCTCTATGGCGCGGACCTTGACCAGACTGGCACTGCCCGCTTCCTCTTCGGCGAGGACGACAACGCCGGCGACGCCAAGTACGTCCAGGCTCTGACTGATGACCAGTTCCCTACCCTCGTTCGCGCCGAGGGCCAAATGGTATGTCTACTTTTCTTCTTTCTTTCTTTCTTTCTTTCTTTCTCTTCTTACCTAACTGCTCCTTCCGCTTCTATTCCACTTGCCCCGTGACGTTGGCTAGCTAGCCTGCTGGGTGCCTGTCATCGCTCAGCGAATGAACCTTCACGTGAGCTTCAGGCGGCAACATGGAAGACGAATCCTCGAACTACGGTGAATGGTCTCTCGACGGCGCTATGGCCAAGAGAGTTTGCTGATCGTTCTTGTATTGTGGAGGGCGTTGTTCATTTTTGCTCCTGCTGCTGCGACGCATCCCCCAAATCATTGCCCTATCCGTCTCCGACTACACTGCAAACTTCCACCTTCATTCACCCTTCCTTTCCCTTTACAGAGTATTCGTACTTTGACCCCTTCATCTATTATCCTCCACCCTTGTCCCCTTTCTTACCTTTGAGCTGCCTCACCTTGTCTTTGACCACGGTTCTGACGTCGGCCATCGCCACAGCTCTCCGCGTCTTCTGCTGCTCTTGACCTTGCTCTCTCCCCGTCTCCTGCACCTGACGCGTCTTCGTCCACCAACGGTTGGGGTCATATTAACCGTCATCGCGCCCGACAGAGTCTCTCGAGCATCAACGCTCAGCTCAACGGTTCGTCCTCCGCCGACGGTTCCGTCATCGGCTCGCGTCCGTCGTCAGTCCGTCACTCTCTGGACCTCAAGTACTTCTCCGAGAACCCCTCCGACAGCAACTCGGTCGTGTCTCCCACCAGCAACGGCAACATGACTACTCCTCCCAAGCTGCAGAGCTCCTTCTCTGCCAACTCTGTCCCGACCGTCAAAAATGCCTTGGGTGCCAACAACCATGCTCAGCAGCATTTCCACAACCACAACGCTAGCATCGGTCGCATTCCTGCCGGTGCAGCCCCTCCCCGTCACAGCCGCGAGCTGTCGTCGGACAGTAACATTGGCTCGGGCCAGCAGAGTGGCAACTTCCCGTCCATTCAGAGCGCTCTGCACGGGAATGCTGCGCCCTTCGGCCCTACCAACGGCCTGAACGGCCTCAACCAGAACGCTGCTCCTTTTGGTGGCAACAACGGCAATAACCAGCAGACCAACGGTCTCAACAATGTTGGTCAGGCTGGCGTTTCTGGTCCCAATGGTGCTGGCCAAAACGGCATCAGCCAAGGCTTCAACCCGTACGGCAATGGCCCTGTCAACATGTATAACCCCCAGAACAACGGCCAGCTCAACGGTGCCTACGGCGTTCCCCTTCTTGCCATGCAGAATCTGAACCTCAACGGCGGCTCGGCCTATCCGCCTCAAAACTTCACCGGTTACGGTTCTCTGTACACTCCTGCCATCCCTGCCCATTCAGCTCCGCGTGACAGCCAGGCGCGTGTGATCCAGCACCGACGCCAACAGGACAATGACGGTAAGCATTTTCCTCGAGCCGGAATGAACGCATGCTAATTCGATCCTTGCTACAGCTATGCAGCGCTACCAGAACCTGCCTCTTGAGCACGTCGGTGGTCAGATTTACGAGCTGTGCAAAGACCAGCATGGCTGCCGCTACTTGCAGAAGAAGCTTGAGGAGCGCAACCCTGACCAGGTCCACATGATCTGGCTCGAGACCAACCAGCACGTCATCGAGCTCATGACCGATCCCTTTGGCAACTACCTCTGCCAGAAGCTGCTTGAGTACTGCAATGACGACGAGCGAACGGTGCTCATTCAGAACGCTGCTCAGGACATGGTCCGTATCGCTCTGAACCAGCACGGCACGCGCGCGCTGCAGAAGATGATCGAGTTTGTCACGACCTCTATCCAGGTTCAGATGATCATCGACGCCCTTCGCTACCGGGTTGTTGAGCTGATCCAGGATCTGAATGGCAACCATGTCATCCAGAAGTGCCTGAACAAATTAAGCGCTCCTGATGCCCAATTCATTTTCGACGCTGTTGGCAACCACTGCGTCGATGTCGGCACCCACCGCCACGGCTGCTGCGTTCTCCAGCGCTGCATCGACCATGCCGATGGCGCTCAGAAGGTCTGGCTCATTGGCAAGATTACGGAACATGCCCCTGTCCTCGTCCAGGATCCCTTCGGCAACTACGTCGTGCAGTACATCATCGACCTCAACGAACCCGCCTTTACCGAGCCAGTCGTTGGCATGTTCCGCAACCGCATTTGCCAGCTTTCTCGCCACAAGTTCAGCTCCAACGTCATCGAGAAGCTTCTCCGCTGCTCTCAGGCCCAGGGCCGTGACATGATCGTCGACGAGCTCCTTCAGCCTGGCGAGATGGACCGCCTGCTGCGTGACTCGTATGCCAACTATGTCATTCAGACGGCACTCGAGTACGCCACTCCCGAGGGCAAGCACCGCATGGTTGAGGTTATCCGCCCCTTCCTTCCCGCTGTGCGTTCGACCCCTTACGGCCGCCGCATCCAGGCCAAGGTTCAGGCCTACGACAGCCGCGGCAGCGCTACCTCGTCTGGTCAGATAACCCCGGCCGACAACACCCAAGGCCAAATCCCCCTGCGTCCTGGTCAGAACCGCGCCATGGTCAACAACGCTTCGATTGTCCAGCCTGGCGCCCCCCTGCCCAGCGGTTTCGGCAACGGTAGCGCCCGCAATGGGGCTGCCCAGGGCAAGAGTTA